ACCCTAAACCCTGTAACCCTAAACCCAAAATCCATGAACCCTAAACCCTAAACCCTAAATCCATCAACCCTAGGTCCCGACTCAAAGCCCTGAACCCCCCAGGGTCCCCAGCTGGCAGCTCTTGGCTAGAGCCTTGGTAACAGCTCAACGGAGAGGGGGCTTTAGGGTTTGGGGTTTAGGGTTTTAGGGTTTGGGGTTTAGGGTTTTAGGGTTTGGGGTTTAGGGTTGTAGGGTTTGGGGTTTAGGGTTTAGGGTTTGGGGTTTAGTGCGTCAACAAGTTCATTTTAATGGGTTCCTATAAACACGAAGACCTCCAAGAAGCTCAACAAGTTCAAGAGCTGTGCGATCCCCGAAGATAGATACGGAAGTATGTTTTTAATGTTTGGGCTTTGAGATTAGGCGGAGTAGACAGATCCACCACCCCAGGCTTAGGCCTTCGGCATTACAGGCTTGATGCTGAGTTGCGATTTGTGGGATAGCTTATGTATTACTTCTATATATACACACATACATTAGTTCGGTATCGGCGGGTATAGTGGTACATCTGATAAGGTCCAGGTGTTGGTGATACATGCCTCTTTGGGTGTAGGGCCTAGGGCTTCTGACAGAGCCTTGACGCAACCCAGCTACACAAGCATCGGAGGACGTGATGCCCATAGGCGATCATAAGCTGCAGTGGCCCAGACCCGAAGCCTTAAACCCGACACCAGGAAGAACACGGCAGAAGAAAACGCCAAAGATTCCACAGCTAACCCGATCCAGACACCACCTCGACACTTCCTGCGCGGCTCTTACTCTCTCCATCTGTCTCTGTCTCCATCCCTCCATATATATATATATACATATATATATATATATAGACATTCCCCTAAATGGTGCGGTGCGCGCTATGGGGTTCCATGAGCCCAAGGACACAGGAACTGCCCGTGACTCTAAACCCGCAAACCTTAAACCTGAACAATGAACAATCGCCGCCAGAGGCAAGGCTGTTCCTCCTAAAGCAACCCACGCCTCCACCCCAAAACCCCAAAACCCTAAACCCCAAAACCCCAACAAGTTAACACCCCAACCCCCAAAACCGCAACAACCCCAAAACACCAACGCCCAAAATCGCAACAACCCTAAAACCCCAACGCCCAGCAACCCGCAACAACCCGCAACAACCCCAGAACGACAAAATCCTGCACACAAAACTGGGTTCTTGTTAAAGCGATCTAGTTTAAGTTACTAGAATAAGTAAACCATACTCTTTACACTAGATCCCTAGTTATGCTAACTTAACTTAAACTCCTTGGAACATATTATCTACTATCGATCCCTATTTATGGTAACTTAAACTAAACTCCTTAACAAGAAATCCTCGGGGCTCCTAGCTTCCCACAAGGTTGCGGCTCTCCGCCTCTCTAATGAGAGGGGCCTTGCTAGGGAAGAATAGGGTCTTTGGGGCTCCTTTATAGTATAAGTATAATAAGGAACCCTAAGGAATCATATGGGTAATTCTTATAATTACCAATATGATTCCTTATAGGGCTCCTTATTAATACTTATAGTATGTATTTAGCCCTCGATATTGCTTTGAGGAGCCGGTAGTAATGGGAGTTGCGAGGCTTAGTGCTTTCGGGCTTTGGGGCCTAAGGATCTTTGGGTTTCAGGTTTTGGGGTTCAGGGTTTATTGGGTGTGAAGGATCCTAGGGTTAAAGGCTTTAAGGTTTTAAGGTTTTAAACTTTAGGTCTTAGGGCTTTTGAGCTTAGGGCTTAAGGTTTTAAGTTTAGGGCTTTAGGGTTTTACTGGCCCTCATCGTACGGCGATATGAGTCAGAAGACCACTCTGGCTGAACCCGCGTGTGCACAGCTTTGAAAAGCAGGTTTAGGAAACGTAGGGAAGGATTTAAGCCTCGCCGACGTCTTGAACCGTGAACCCCAATCTCAAGTATCACTGCACCAGAGGCACCCATCACAGGCTTGAGCAAGTAGTTCACAGGTACACCCTGGCATGAGCAGGCATTGGGAGATCCACTAGCCGTAGGTCTCCCGGTTTAAGCTTAAGCTCTAGGGGTTTAGTAGGGTTCAGGGTTTGGGCTTGTTTTCGTTTTGTTTAAGGTGGGTTTAGGGTGTGGCTTTTAACCCTAAGCCCTAACCCCTAAACCCTAAACCCCTAAACCCCTAAACCCTAAACCCCTAAACCCCAAACCCCTAAACCCTAAACCCCTAAACCCTAAACCCTACACCCTAAACCATTCTGGGCTTTAGGGTTTGGAGTCTTTAGCATCAGGATCCTAATGCACAGTCGAGACCTAAGGCTCTGGTTTGGAAACTCGGTCTTTACAAGAATGAATAGGGGTTTAGGGGTTTAGGGTTTAGGGGTTTAGGGGTTTAGGGTTTAGGGGTTTAGGGCTTTAGGGGTTTAAGGCTTTAGGTTTAGGGGTTTAGGGCTTTAGGGCTTTAGGGGTTTAGGGTT